TATATATATATATATATTTTTTTTTGTGCTAGATGTCTGAGAAGTTCAATCAGGAGCTATCATTATCTGGAAAAATCCCGTGTGGTCAATTTAATGCCATGTTCGACTTCAAGGGATGCTGGCATAAGGATGCCACTTCTGTTAAAAATCTTGCTTTTGATGGTTGGTTCATAACCCTATATAATGTTGAGTTGTCGAGAGCCCACATAACTTTGTCTGAGCAAGTGAAACAAGAAGTGCCGACTTCATGGGATCCTGCTGCCCTTGCCGAGTAAGTTATTTTATACAGTTAATGGAATTGTTTGACATTAAGGAGCCTTGATTCTTCAATATCAAGATCTCTAATATACATTACATGGCATTTTAAAATTGAAATGAAGAGTAAGACAAAGTGAGCTTTGCACAAGTTCATAGAAAACCAAGTTCAATCCTTTGATGTGCTGAGCCTGACTACTCTATGAAAAACAATAGTAACGTATTAATGGTTAAAATTGAATCTATTGTGAAACTATTTGTACTATATTTAAGGTTTCCCTATAACAACTTGGTAATATTGTATGGATTTTCGCCCTTTAGTGCCTTATGTACCATTTGCATATACTTAGCTGATAGAAAGTATGACTTAGTTGAGATGGTCTCATTTAGCTAGCAAGAGAGATCTTAATGAAACATACTCTCGATAGAAAATGACTAATTTTCTGGCTTTCTATTCATTTTTAATGATGATAAATTAATAAAAAAAGGCTGCTGTGCTGCAGTTATTATTTTAATCTACTGAGGAGATTATTTGTTTAAATTATTGACATTACTTTTAAGTTTTAACCTTGTTGACATTAATGACATGATTTTTCAGGTTCATTGAAAAATATGGTACTCATGTTGTTGTTGGGGTAAAGATGGGAGGTAAAGATGTAATACATGTAAAGCAATCACAAAAATCAACTCTTGAAACAACTGAATTGCAGAAATATTTAAAGGAATTAGCCGATGAGAAGTTTTCACAAGATTTAATCCCTCCTGAATTATCAAGAAAACAAAAGGTACTCGAAGAAAATTTTTAAAAGAACTCCCAAAGGATCAGCAAGTGTGAGAAATGATCAGTAAGCCCTTTTTCAAATCTAATCCATTTTATTGTTTTAGGATCAGCAATCGATGCCCTGGGATCTCCATGGAGTTTATGGCACATCAGTCAGGCCACCTGTCATTATTCGTTCCAAGAATGAGGTAAGTTCTTCTTCTTCTAAACTGCATCCCTGCAGAAGCTTTAAGTTTTGAGTAAACTGTTGTATATCTTGCAGGATAGGGTAAGCGTATTTATCCGAAGAGGAGGTATTGATCTTGGTCAAAGTCATAACCACTGGCTCTCAACCATATCACAATCACCTAATGTCATATCAATGTCTTTTGTGCCTATAACTTCCCTACTGAGTGGGGCTCGAGGCAATGGGTTTTTAAGTCATGCAGTGAATTTGTACCTGCGATGTGAGTTGATTAACTTTATACCGTGAGTTAGCTTCCATTCCAAAGTGTTGCAATTAACTCAGATTGATGATATTATGCAGATAAACCGCCTGTAGAGGAGCTCCATCAATTTTTAGAATTTCAATTACCTCGCCAATGGGCTCCTGTATATGGGGATCTGCCTCTTGGTCTCATGCGAAGAAAACAAGCATCTCCATCACTTCAATTTACTTTATTGGGGCCTAGGCTTTATGTCAACACTATGAAGGTAAATAATACATTGCATCACATAAGAATACTTATTGCTTTCAAAAGACACTAAAATAGGAGGAACATTTTTCCTTGCTTAGCAAGTGTAAAATTAAAAATGGGGATCAGATGACATTATAAATGACTTAAGGAAAAGGTGTTGTGCAGTTTGGACTATACCAAGCTGCACAACACTAACCATTGGTTTTGGGAGCCCTCTCCCCATTTAATGGTCCTTGTTTTACAATTTGGTGCAGCCTAGACTAAATGATAAGAAATCCTTTGAAACTTTACTTGTACGATTGATGATTATCTTGTTCTTTCAGAACTCAGGGGTTTGATATTGATACCCTTCTCAATTGTATCAAGTTCTAACGTGTTCAGCCGTTCTTAAATCCATAAACTGCAGGTTGATTCTGGAAATCGACCAGTGACGGGAATCCGCTTATACCTGGAAGGCAAGAAGAGTGACCATCTAGCAATTCATCTCCAGCATCTCTCTACTCTTCCGCCAATCCTCCAACTGACAAATGATCACTCTAATGGACCAATAGATGAGCCAGTCAAGCATAGCTACCTCGAACCTGTTAAATGGAGCATATTCTCACACGTGTATACTGCTCCAGTTGAATACAATGGAGCCCACTTTGATGACTCTGCCTCTATTCTGACGAGGGCCTGGTTTGAGGTTAAGGTTATAGGGATGAAGAAAGTTCTGTTCCTGAGGCTCGGATTCTCAACAGTGGCATCTGCTAGGATCCGTAGATCAGAATGGGATGGACCAACAACCATGTCACGGAGGTCAGGAATTTTCTCAATGTTGATCAGCACAAGGTTCAGCACTGGATTGCAACCACCTGAGGAGAAGCCAGCAAAAGTGGTTTTAAATTCAGCAGTTTACCCAGGAGGCCCTCCTTTACCTCCTAAAGCGCCAAAATTGTCAAACTTTGTGGATACAAAGGAAATGGTGAGAGGACCTGAGGACCTGCCTGGGTATTGGGTGGTTACAGGAGCCAAACTCAGCGTAGAAGGTGGCAGAATCTCAATCAAAGCCAAGTATTCATTGTTAACCATAATGTCGGAAGACACTATTATGTTGATGTGAGTAAACGTAGTGTTGATTACATAGAATTCGTTTGCATTGCTGTAAATGTGATACTGTACATTTTCTTCGTGAACCGAACAATTTCACAGGATCCATGTTGTCATCAAGCTTTGCATTGGTTTGAGATTTCCCCACTTCTTACCCCATCACTTCTGTGCATGAGTCTGGATTTTTCTCGTTAAAGAGCCCAATCATTGTAACTGTACCCGTGGGCATTGGCCCATCATGTATATCTCGTCTCCTCAATTTCTAAGAGCAACCCAAAAATTAGTGGGTGGCGTTGAATATGGCACACTGGCACCAGTACCCTATATGAGGCCCGTTTCAGATAACTTCTGTAGAGTTCGATATGGTTTTAACTGTGTCATATACTTTCTTATGGTTTCTATTTATCAAGGAGCCCTAAACGCTAGCCTTCTTTAATTTCGTATTCTTCGTTTCAGCTATACTCCGAATATCTGATCATGGCTAAACTTACCTTCGACGATTACCTCATCGCCTATGCTGCTGTGCTAAGCCAGCTTGACGCCACTTTCCTTGTCGTCCAGCGTGGCAACTGGGGGAGAAAATTTTCTGGGGCGTCCCAATGCATGATTATTGCAGGAATCACCATCATCTTTCTCATTATTCTGTATTTTATTCTGAGAAGCAGACCGTAGGGACAAGTCGGGTATCAGTTGCACTCCGTTTTCAAGATGATTACTTCTGCTTCTGCTATAACGTTGTGTGTCCTGATCAATCAGGGTTTCGAAGAGCATACAATTGAGAAGCTATGGGTTTGTGCGTCCGTTTGCATTTGTGCTTACTGTCTCATCGAGCTCATCCGGACAGCCAAGCCATCGGGTATGATTCTGTTTATGTTTCTGTTGTCTTCTGCCATCGATAAGACCGAAGGGCATCAATATTGGAGGATTGTGTTTAGTGTTCTGTTGGTTGCAACGCTTCTCTCGGTGTCATTCGGACAGGCCAACCTAAGGAGGGAGGCCGAAGCTGTAAACCCAAAGCCAGTTGCGGAAGAAGAAATAACCTATATTTCTGTTGGTTCTAGTGGTACTATTAGTGATTAACCTTTTCTTTTTGACCTCGTGAATAGTTGTAATTAGTTTAGTTAATTCAGAGGTTTTCCCATCTGCTTGTGGATACCGCATATGGCTTCTGTTCATAGTAATCAGCTTTTATGAAAGAAGGCATGATTGTTGATGTTTTTGATCCATTAATTGGCCGAAGTTTTGTTGCTAAACCTGGCACAAGGGGCTAAACATATCTTGGATATCCATATCTGAGTGAAATGGACGAAAAACCATGCCAAGGCTATCAGCTGTTCTCTCAAATTGATCAGCACAAGGTTCAGTACAGGATTTCATCCTGTAAAGCTAGCAAAGCCATCCTCCGAAACGAAGTTCCTTGTTTCAGGGTGAGAATTTAGAAGAAGAAATCTTAATGCCATTTCACGGAAGACGAATTCTATCTGTAGATACAGATATGAAAAGCAATGGATTCCTGACATTTCAAAGAATGAAATTTTCCATTTTATCAAAAAAATTAATAATAATTTAATTCATTGGGTTTGATACATATGTTGAAGTGATAAAAAAGAATGGGGTTTTTACTCTTAAGCCTTGAACTAAGTTCACATCATCACATGGGTAGTTTCAGGTGACAATGTAAACTTTCTCCTTAGGTTTCACCAGTAATCTCCACAAGAACATGAACCGTCTTTAAAATGGTGGAATCGGTTTATGTCTCTCACGATAATTTCTCGAGAGACAATTTTGCAGATGAACTTGAATGCAGTATGACAGTCTACACAGACTCGGAGATTCTTTTTCACCCTAATTGGTGCCCCCGGTGGTGTGGCAATCAACCCAAATGCTACTGCAAGTTTCTCACTATGGTGGTATAGAAGCTTCTCCTTTTCACTTCGTTCTACATCATGTAGGTCAATCTCTACCATGGGAACATAGCCGGCTTTATTAAGAAGATCACCAAGTTCATCAAGCTTTGCATAGATTTCCTCAGTTCTAGCATGGCTTCTATCTCCTACAATAAAGGTGTATACCTTGTCTTTGACCTCAATCCAACTCATTCCTGGTTCTTTCTTCACCTTGCTGTCTCTCATCAGTCTTCTCACCTTTGCTACATTCTCCCACATTCCAACTGATGCATATATGTTTGCAAGAAGAATATGGGTTCCAGATTTCTCTGGTTCAAGATCCAGAAGCCTCTCAGCAACTTGCTGCCCAATCTCAACATTCTTATGGATTCGAGCAGCACCAAGAAGAGCCCCCCAAACTGAGCCATTTGCTTCAAAAGGCATTTTGTTTACAAGTTCCATCGCCTCATTCAATCTGCCTGCCCTCCCAAGGATATCAATCATGCAAGCATAATGCTCTTGCAGAGGTTCAATTCCAAATAACATTCTCATTGATTCAAAGTATTTTTCGGCTTCAGATACCAAACCTGCATGATTACAAGCACAAAGGACACTAACTAAAGTAATGTGATTGGGAGAAAAACCATCTTCCAGCATCTTATCAAACAACTGTAAGGCCTTCCTCCCATGTCCATGTTGGGCTAGCCCTCCAATCATTGCAGACCATGAGACTATACTTCTCTCACGAATCTCAGAGAAAGCAAGGTCTGCATCATCTATGCTTCCACATTTGGCATACATATTGACAAGAGAGTTCCCAGCAAAAACATCAGACATAAACCCACACTTCAAGATGTGAACATGTACTTGTTTCCCTTGTTCATATGCTGATAAATTTGCACAGGCATTGAGAAGTGAACTACAAACAAATGAATCTGGCTTTATACCCCTTTCTTGCATTTCCAAATAGAGCTTCAATGCTTCTTCACCTTGTCCATATTGACTATAAGCAGTTATCATAGATGTGAAAGCCACCAAATCTATGACTGGACACACTTTGAATACTCTTGCTGCTTCTTCAACAAGGCCACATTTTCCATATGCATCAATAAGGCTGTTGACAGAATAGCTGTCATGCTCAAACCCTGATTTTAAAATGATTGCATGAACCTGTTTGCAAACATTGTTCTCCTGCACGCTAGCTATGGATTTGAGGACTGTTGACAATGTTGTCTGATTGAATCCTACCCCCTCCTTGTACATCAAAGAAAACAACAATACAGCTTCTCTGTCGTCCCCATTTTGTGAATGCCCGGAAATCACAGCATTCCATGAAATCAAGTCCTTATTTGGCATTAACTTAAAAACCAATTTTGCATCATCCATCAGATTACATTTGGAATACATATCAATAAGCCCAACAATTACAAAAGAATCTGGTTCTACATTCATCTTTATCAAGCTAGGGTGCAACTGTCTACCAAATTCCTTAAGCCGAGATGCAGCACAAGCCTTAAGAGTGCTTGATAAGGTAAACATATTTGGATGAATTCCCGACCTTTTCATGTGCCCAAAAAGTTCTAAAGCCAAACCATAATTCTCATGAAGAACACAACCGGCAATAGCAGCATTCCAAGCAACAATATCAGGTTTGGCAATCTCATTAAAAACAAAAAGAGAACCCTCAAGATTTCCTATTTTTGCATACATGTCAACAAGTGCATTCATTGAGAAAGGATCTGAATCATAACCAAGCTTTATCAGATAACCATGGATTTTCCTTCCTTGAGTTCCATCCCCCAATCCAGCACAAGCATTTACCATAGTAGACAAACTAAACTCATTAGGTCTTATTCCACCCAAAACCATCCCATGAAATAACTCTACTGCTTCTTTATGGCAGTCACTCTGCACATAACAAGAAAACAATGCATTCCAAGAAACAACACTCCGTTCTGGAATTGCATCAAAAAGCCTCATTGAATCCCCAAACTGCCCACACTTTGCATACATAACCACCAAACTATTGGCAACAAACTCATCAGAATCAAACCCAGTAACCACCACAATACCATGAACCTGCTTCCCAAGCTCCAAATCCTTGGTTGCAGTACAAGCCTTAAGCACGCTGGGAAAAGTGAACTCATTGCACTTAAGACCCAAGAAGTGCAACTCAAGAAAGGCTAAAATTGCTTCTTTACAAAGCCCGTTCTGCGCATAACCTGAAATCAAAGCAGACCATGAAACCAAGTCTGGTTCAGGACTTTCATCAACCAGTTTCCAGGCATACCCAAAAACCCCACATTTAGCATACAAATTGATCAAATGGTTCCTAATCTTAGGATCTTTGGTTAATCCAAATTGGATTACATGAGCATGGATTTGCATGCCTGGAGTTAGAGATTTGGTGAAATTGCATTTGGACAAGAGTTTAAGGTAGGGTATGAAGATGGGTCCAAATCCGAAATTATCCTTTTGGGACAAGGTTAACAGAGGATTGGTTTCTGGGTTTTCGCTCAATTTAGTAGCGGTTTGAATGAGTTTAGAAGAGAGATTCAAGGGATTAAAAGGTGGGTAAAGTCGTTGAAGAAGAGGGTTCTGGAGGGTATTGAGATAACCAAGTTTCATGGCCTATTGGTTCATTAGACCTGCTTTGGCGGTTTGCACCCTTTGGATAGAAAGTTGGAACTAGCACAAAGGGCTGTTGAACACTTGGCGCATCCGTCGTTTTATTGGGCATTAGTGACACAAGTGGCTGGGTGCATCGGTCGTTTATTGGGGCACTAGTGACACAAGTAGATTAAGAAGACATTTTGACGCTTAGGTTCAAGTTTTCAAGTTAGTATTTAGTAAAATTAATTTTATTAAATATATTATATTGATATAAAGGATGTTTCTTAAGATTGTTTAAAAAAAATTAGTCTTAAATGTATAAAATTTAAAAATATCTTCATTATAAATACAAAAAAATGCATTTTAATCTAAATAGCTATTTTTGCTATCTTTTTCATTGTAATTTTTTCTTTATACATTATAAGGTGGAAAATTTTCTCTCCATTTCAAAATCTATGAACGCACATCTTAAAATTTGAACTTTAATGCTTATTTTAATGTTTCAAACTCTTATAATTGCTTAAGGTATTTTCTTAAAATATATATTTTTAAAAAAAAATTTATAATACCCAAATGGGCAGGGGAATTTAATATATTTCACTATTAAACAGGTTCAATCGTGAAAATTTTGATATGGATGATTAGCTA